TAAGAATTTTTGATAGAGCCTAGAATTTCATGTGCACGTTAGGTATGATCTGAAATTTAGATCTGGTTATTTTCAAAATCTTGCATGTTACTTAGTGGCTTTTTCTCAGTTGTACAGATTGTCTTTTAATCACATTAATATTTTCACTTGAATTGCAAATAAAACCAGTTCCTGTCAGATTTGATAATGGAACATTTTATTTATACTACTTAATCACAATATTTCTTTGCTTTGTTGTCCCTGTATATTTAATTGTTTTCAGTAGGTGGGAGCATCAATAATTGATGCTTGTGCCAAATGAAGCTGATTTGTGTGTTGACTTAGAGCGTTAACAAGTCCACAGGAAATTGCTGGACTTATGTAAACTGATCGTGTGTTTCTAAGGAGACTGTTGATGCAGCGCTAACCTCCCTCCCACACCTGTCACATCATGGCTTCATTTTTCAACCTGTTAAGACTTCCTTGGCAATACTGTTAATTGTTTATCCATGATACAGTCTTTTTCCTTCTATAAAACATTTTTGTCTTTTGAGTAGAGAACTGACTCCCTTACACACATTTACATCATACAAAGTAGTAGTAATAAACCTAACACAAGATAACACTGAGTGTATTCTTAGTGATTGACCTCTTAATATTTGAGATTACATTATTACCTCTGTATAACCTTTGCATGCACTGATAAAGATTTATTCTGTTGTTGATGGCACTTGGTTGTTTCTTGCCACTCTAATATGAGTAATGCCCTGGGGATAGCCTTACATCTAAGTGCGCATAAGTAAGCATCTCTTGAGTCTGCATAGGGGTAGGTCACAGGGATCCTTTAGATGTTCATATGTTTGCTATTCATAGGTTGGATAGTGTTAAAAGTTGTATCCATTAAATCACATGCAGTTAAAGTTCCATTTAATTCTAAGAGTTTTGTTTTTTTGTTGTTCCACCTTACCAATGCTCCATTTTGCCACCTTTCTTCACATGATGGTTTCTGTTAGGGTCTTAACATGTTCCTGAAAAACAAATAAGATTAGACTTGTTTTCCCATATTGATTGCGTATAATGTTAGAAAAATACTTCTTGTTCATTTCCAGCGTGGGTGGATTTACTTATTCTTGTGCTGGAAATTCGGCTGCTAGAGTAGACTTCCTTCTATGTTGTCATTACTGAGTGAAAGCAAAGAAAACAGACAGCAGCAACAATAACGACAAAAAAGCTTGGCAAAAAGATTAGCTAATGCTTGTGTGAAATATGCGTCATGTTCATACTGTAGAGGCCAAGTGTCAGTGAGTCGGGAAGTTGTTCTTCCTACTGCAGGCATCACAAGAATGGAGGGTTGGCAATCCTTTCACAGGAAAGGACGGTGGTCCCAGTCTACTGCCGCATGGTGAGATGCTGCTCACTTGTCATCTCTTGTTTCTTGTGTTTTATGGGTATACATCCTTTTGATTATTCACATACATAGTGTGCCATTATCATGTTTCCTTTCACTTTTTCTTCTACTGTAAACACAAAAATGGTTTTAAAGTCTGTATCTGTATTATTTTTCTTTGCTTTTTTGGGGGGTTGCTGTTTTGTTTTGTTTGAGACAGTTTGACCATGTTCCTTGGTCTGGAACTTGTGGTCCTCCTGCCTGAACCTCTTAAGGGCTAAGGTTATAGGCACATACCTAGCTATTCTTTGTTTCCTGTCTGAGAAATAGTGTCTCACTTCACAATCACAAAGTTATTCCTTTATCTTCTGGAGTTTTCATCATTTTTCTCTTTATTATTTTAGCTTACAACCTACATAAACTTTTTTTTGACATTTAGACATAATCATCTTTAGACTATTCTTTGAAAGGGTTGCTCAGATTATAACGAGAATTTCAGAACAGTTTCCACACGCTGTGAGTGAAGAAAAATGCGTAATTGTGAAAAGCAGAGAAAGGAGATTGAATCACCATGCATTAGGAAGAGGAACAAAAAGAAGGGTTCCCATGCCCATCTTTGTGGTACTAATACAGAATTAGGTACAGGAAGCATGGTGGTGGGTGGGGCAAGAGCTAAAAGCTAAGCACTGCTGATCAAGGTGTGGATTGTTTGTTTATTGTCTCTTTTTCTGGTTCTGCAAGGTGGTCAAAAAGGAGCTCTTATTACAGTAAGGGACAAGCTGGTTCTCAGATAATTAGTCATGCTCCAGGGTGCTGCCTCGCTGTTAATGGACAGTACCCTCATTTGTGAGGTTCTGTTCTTTGTGGAATCCATGGTGATTGCAGGTTTAGGACACTGATTTGAGGCCTTTCGACTCTTGCGGGGGTCCGGGGGAGGGTCCTGGAATGGGACATTATAAGATGCCTCTCAGGTACTCTTCTTTATTCCTTCCGCCTCAAAGTGAAATCAGAGGTTAGATATTGCCTACTCCTGGGTAGTGATTAACACGCCCATGTGCAGAGTTAAGGAGTGTAGTTGGGAAGTGAAGGGAGACTTACCAGGATTTCCCCCTTGCTCTTCGTTACTTCGTGGGCCCAAGTGAGGAGTCAGGTCCGACCCCGACCCCCCCCCCCCCCCCCCCCGTCCTCCCCCACAGGGTTTCTCTGGAGCCTGTCCTGGAACTAGCTCTTGTAGACCAGGCTGGTCTCGAACTCACAGAGATCCGCCTGCCTCTGCCTCCCAAGTGCTGGGATTAAAGGTGTGCACCACTAACACCCGGCTTGAGTCAGTGGTTTTTTAAGCAAAGGCAAGTTTATAAGAACTTTTTTTTCTTTTTACCAAACCGGTTCTATTTTTGACATGAAACATAGTGATACTAAAGACACATGTATGTAACACGAGGCAGAGGAAGGTAGATCTCTGTGAGTTTGAGGCTAGCCCTTTCTATAGAACTAGTTCCAGGATAGCCAAGGTTACACAAAGAAAATACCAAAAAGAAAAAAAAAAAACAACCCATGTTGGATACATTAGATTACCACTATATTTTAAACTCAAAACTTTAACAGCAAACTGCAAAGTTAATCCATAATTATCAGACCAGAAACCCATAATAATACCTTTATTTCATACATTTGGCTTTAAGTAAGGCACATACTGGTCTTTTGGATGAGTTGGGATTTGAAATTTTTTCATCCTGTTTTGTTTTTTAATTCTTTTTTTTTTTTTGTGTGTGTGTGTGTGTCTTCTATAAACTTGAGTAAAAGAGCTGAGGATAGTAATTTCTGGGTGTTTAAAACAAGAATTGTTAGGACAGGTTCCAAAGCCACAGAGAAACCCTGTCTCGAAAAAAAACAAAGAAAAAAATAATAATTAAAAAAAACCCCAAGAATTGTTTAAATAATTGTGTTTGTAGTAATGCAGAAGCCAACATGTTTGTTGTAGGGGCTGGAGAGCTAGCTTTGTATCTAAGAGCTTTTACAGAAAACCAAAATTTGGTTTCCAGCATCCACACTGAGCAGCTCACAATCACCTGTAACTCCATTCCAGGGAATCCAACTCCTTCGGAGGCCTCCTTGGGCTACCCTCTACTCCCACAGCATACATACATACACACATACACACACACACATCAAAACTAAAAATAAATATTTGTGGTAGTATTACTCTAAAATTTATAGTTATTTGATGATTAAGTTCTGTCATCCAGTGAGCCAAAATAACTTATTCTTAAAAATTCATCAAGATGAACAAGTTTGATCCATTTGAAATAGATTAGTTTTGACTTTTTACTACATATTTGTTACCCTTTTATAACCTTGGATATAATTAGGATTGTACTGAAAAGAATTATCAGATGGATACATTTTAGTGCTGAGAGTTGAGATGTGTAAGTAGGACAGAACTCTGGCTTGGACAGGCACTATGGCTCTTCCTGCAGTCTCTGCACTCAGAAGACTGAGGCAAGAGGATAGAGAGATCACCATTTGGCCTTAACAAGACTCAGAAAAACCAAGGTCTGGGGCTGTGACTGAGTAAGTGGTCGGAGGTTTTCCTCTCAGGCCAATACCCAGCACCAGGAGACAGACTTCTCTTACCATAAAGAAATACAGTTTTGAAAACAGATTTGCTTAAGATATAATATATACTTTCAGTTACAGTGGCATGCACATTTAATCCCAGAACTCAGAGGCAGAAGCAGCTTTGAGTTTGAAGCCAGCCTGGTCTACAGAGCAAGTTCAGGCCAGCCAGGGCTATACAGAGAAACCCTGTCTTGAAAAACCAAAAAAAAAAAAAAAAAAAAAAAAAAAAGCAGGGGTGGGGATTGTACCGCCCGCCTGTACTACGTGACGACAGTACGGTACTACTCCTGTATTGCATCGCCTGCACTACAGGACCATTCGCGAGCCGGGCAAGGGCCTGGAGATTTAAACACACAAAGACACACAGACAGAGGCACGGGTCATCCTTGAAACAGGAATGCCCCCTTTATTGTGTCCAGGGGCAGCTTATATAGGGATCCTTGACTGATAGCCATAACCCAGCCAAACGCACCAGAAACCACTCTCCTGCCATCAGGAATTCCTGAAGGTCTCATGCTTAGAGCAGCTGCAAACATAACACATTGTTTACAAGAAATTCAGGATTCAAGAAATTCTGGGGGTTCACAGCTCCCAACAGGGGATAAATGGTGTATATCAAAGATAGTTTTTAGGATTGATGGTATGGAAACCAGTAATTACAAAATTTTGGATATAAAATGTGTCCTGTAGCCCTATTTTTAGAAATGTGTATTGAAAAATCAGGATTCTTAGAATGTATAAATTATTTGCATGTAAATATATTTTATAAAAAACTTTGTCATAAAGTAGTCTCCAACATACAATTTAGTACTTGAGACATGTTTGGACAGTTGTAATTGGTCAGAAGCATTTGCAAAATTAATGCCCCCACTGTTTTTCTCTCCCCCCATGACTACACTGAGCATCTGCTGTAATTTTTCTTTATTGCAGTTTGTTTCCAACTGTCTTTTACAGTATCTTTATGTTTAATATAAAACAATACTGTTATTAATTGAGCACTAATTTTGCTTTTCAGCGGGGATCTGATGAGCTTCTTTCTCCTGGTGTCATTAACGGACCTTCTACCATGAACAATTCTACTCCTTCTGCAGGTGTGTATGGTAAGTTTTGTTCCCCCTTCCCCCATGTTTTCTTTCTGTGAATTTTTTCATTGTTCTTATTTGCCAATGTTTACAGTAGAAAGTGTAATTTTTACTCAATGACAAATGAAAGAGCCAGTTAAGGGGAAAAGATGGTATTTGTTAGACATTTATGAATGGGTCCACCATTCATAAATTTTAATCTACCAAAAAATTAATTAGAAAGATTTTGTAGGCAGAGAATATGTTAATATGAACATGTGAACAGAGTGATGCGGGAGTTGAGACTAAAGCCAGCTTTGTAAAGTCGCTCACATTGGAGTCACCGGAGAAGAGGCCGGGGAGATGAATATAGTTTAGTGCATAAGTGCTTGCTGTGCAATCTGAGAGCCTGCTTTGATTGCAGTACCCATGCAAAGGCGGTCACTGACCCGTCTATAACCCAGTGTTGTGGTGTGAGGGGTGGAGAACAGCGAATCCTTGGGGCTTGCTGGCCAGCCAGTCTAGCCAAAACAGGGAGCTCTAGGTTTAGTGAGAGACCCTGTCTCAGAAAGTAAGGTGAAGAGTGATAGAGGAAGATACCCACAAGTCAAGCTCTGGCCACTGTCAGGATGCATTGCACATGCCTGTCATCATTCAGCGAGTCTAGCGCAGTGAAAGATACTGCCCACGTTCAACTTGGGTCTTCTCACTTCAGTAAGCTGCTTTGGAAAGCCTTCCTAGACAACACCCAAGGGTTTACCTCTCAGATGATTCTAAGTGTCTAAAGTTGACAGTCAGGATTAACTAGCACACTCAGGATAACTTGGAAGCACTGAAAATCTGCAAACGGCCTGACTTACCTTTGAAGTTTCTATGTGAGGGATATTTTACCTTTGTTTTTAGAGCTCCTAGGTGGTGCATCTGAGGCCCAGACAGGCTTAAGCACTGTTACTGAAATTTTCATTTTCCTTCCCGGGAGTGCCATCTCCCCAGAGAGTTGCCTACTCCTGGGATTCTTGTTGAATTTGTATAAGTCCAGCACACCTGTCTTGTTTGGTGTTAGCTTCTATATTTGCCAATTTTTTTCTCAAGAAAATGCTGGTTTTGATTAGAATAATTTTTTAATTCACTCATTTTGCCTTCTCCAATTTGCTGTGCAATCTGAGGGCCTGACTTAGATTGCAGTACCCATGTAGAGGCTGTCACTGCTGTCTGTAACCCAGTGTTGCGGCATGAGGGAAGGAGGAGAAAAAGAACTCTTGGGACTCCATTGGGTATTCTGTTTTGGAGTTTATAGTTTTCATTTCTCTATATCTTGCGGCGGGGAGGGGGAAGGTGATGGGTTGTTGCTAGGGATCTAATCTAGTCCTTGTAAATGCTGGGCAGGCCCTATTTATCTAACTTTGTTTGATTCTTGCATCTCTTATGCAAGAAAGTCCTAGATATTCAGAGCACTGTGTCCTGGAGGGGAAGAGAGGGTGTGTGTGTGTGGGGGAGTGGTGGCAGGGTAGTTAAATTAGCAGTGTCTTGATTTTTGTTATGATTTCCATTTGGTAATATATTAGAATAAACATTTTTTCTTCATCCTGGAAATTAGACCCAAGACCTTTCATATATTAGGGTGAAGTTGTATCTCTAGCACCAAAGAAACCTCTGAAAAATGATAACTTAATTTTTTGTAATAGCTCAAATTCAAATTTGTCCCAACTTGTGATTTCTCTGCCTCTGCATCCAGAATGCTTTCACAGGCATTCACCACCATTGCTTACTTGGGACATTGTGAGCGTGACTCACAGCTCCCTGTAACGCTAGCTGCAGGGTGTCTCAAACTCTTCTCCAGCCTCCATGGACATACACATGTGACAGTAACACCAATATTTTCATTTTAGTATTACAGCAAACCTTTTTTTTTGATAAATTTCATCCATGACTCAGGAAGCCGAGACAGGAGGATTTTTAATTCAGTGACAGTAAGTTCCCAGGCCAGGTTTCACTATAAAATTCTGTGCTACCTCAACATGATGATAATAACAATTTTTGCCCTTAATGTTGAACTTATAAAGCTGAATTTAAATATAGTAGGTGGAATTACTCCTCTAATGTTAAGTTGGGTTCCATTGAAAAGATTTAGAAGTATATCAGTATTGTGTAATAACTGATTTTCTAAAGTTAGCAAACAGTGACAAACCTGAACTGTTTCCATGTTCCTTGCCCAGGAAAGGGTATGTGAGGGGGAGAGAGTGTAGGCAGTAGGCAGCAAGACTGAAAGCTGCTAGGAAGAGCTACCTATTCCTTCCCATTCCGATCCTACTGTATCTGCTGCTTTCAAATCAAGGCTCTGTATGTTGTCCCTGGATTTGTGGATGCCAGTCTGTCATTGATTAACTTTGAGATTTAACTGCTCTGTCTTAAGTGAGTGGATGAGACTATAGCAGAAACTGGAATTAAATCTAGCAAATACTTTTCTGGCTTATTTTGGTACAACTACTAATACTATAGACAAATATATTTTAAATGATTTTTATATTGCATAAAGATGATGAAACATTGGTGCCAAGCTGTGACTTCCCCCAGGCAACTTGGCACCTACAGTTATTCTTTTTAAATGTTGTTAATGTTCTTTTAAAATCTCATCTACTGTGAGCTTTTGAGATGCCTCGGAGGTAAAAGCCAAACCTGATGATGACCTGATTTTGATCCCCAGGAAGGAGAGAACTGATTCCTGTTGTCCTCTGACTTCACATGTCTGCATAAGCACACTTGTGTACACTTTTAAAAATCAGTGAATAGCCGGGTGGTGGTGGTGCATGCCCTTAATCCTAGCACTTGGGAGGCAGAGGCAGGTGGATCTCTGTGAGTTTGAGACCAGCCTGGTCTACAAGAGCTAGTTCCAAGACAGGCTCCAAAGCCACAGAGAAGCCCTGTCTTGAAAAAAACAAACAAACAAACAAAAAAAATCAGTAAATAAAATGTAGTTAAAAACAAACCAGAAACCTTTCTTTCTTTTAGGTAGATATTCTTTTAAGAGCTTTAAATTATGAAGACTATCTTTTCCTATGAACTTTACCTGTAAAACAGACTTAAAGAGATTTTTATTCAACTTACATTAAATTTATGTTACTATAATCTGGTTTTACTGCTGTGTGTGTGTGTTTGCATGTACTCATAGGGCATGGCAGTGCTTTCTGTTTGAAAACTTGAACAAAGTTCCACACTTCATAAATTATATTGTCCCTTTAAATATAGTTGTACAAAATAATGGCAGAAACTATAATACTGTTGGTTTTTTTTGTTGTTGTTGGTGGTGGTGGTTTTTTTTTTTTTTTTTTTTTTTTTTTTTCCGAGACAGGGTTTCTTCGTAGTTTTTGGTTCCTGTCCTGGAACTAGCTCTTGTAGACCAGGCTGGCCTTGAACTCACAGAGATCCACCTGCCTCTGCCTCCCAAGTGCAATACTGTTTTTTTTTCTTTCCAACCCATTTTTACTCAGATAAAACAGCTACTTTCAAAATCTTTTTTTTGGTTAGAGGTAGTTTTGACTGAAAAGTAAAAATATTGTATGGAACCTGCAAAGAGCGTCTCTGTATGTTTTTTCATTCTCCTACTGCTTGGAGGAATTCTGTCTTTCATTTGAGATATTTAAGGATGAGGATTACATTTTATCAAGAGACACAGCTTAAAGTCTGAGTCATTCATAGTTTTGTATGTTGCTCTTATAAATGTATAATATTAACTTCACAAGTATAATATCAAATGAAAATCAGTATATGTTATATTATTGGCTCATTTATGTAATGTTAAAAATATTAATCTGTGTTGTGAGAAATCAAGTTTATAATTTCTTGGAATATAAATTGAAATGGAAAGAGGAAAGGCTCGTGTATATGTAACACTTGTGTATTCTGTGTGAGTGAATGCCATTGTGTGTGGCTGTTTCAGGATACCAGTAGCGGGTGTTAGAACTGGGGTTATAGCGGACTCGCTGTACATAGCGGACAATGAGGACTTACTGAGAACTCAAGAACAATGGCAATGGGTTTTTGATCCTACTGCACATACTGGCTTTGTGGGAGCCTAGGCAGTTTGGATGCTCACCTTACTAGACCTGGATGGAGGTGGGTGGTCCTTGGACTTCCCACAGGGCAGGGAACCCTGATTGCTCTTTGGACTGAGGAGGGAAGGGGACTTGATTGGGGGAGGGGGAGGGAAATGGGATGTTGTAATAGGAGTGGTGGGGCCGGCCCCGGGCCGCCCACATGGCTAGCTTATGCCCCGAAATAATTACACGGAAACTATTCTTTTAAACACTGCCTGGCCCATTAGTTTCAGCCTCTTATTGGCTAGTTCTTACATATTGACCTAACCCATTTCTAATATCCCTGTAACACCACGAGGTGTCTTACCAGGGAAGATCTTAACCTGTGTCTGTGTCCGGTAGGAGAATCATGGCGACTCCTTGACTCAGCTTCTTTCTCCCAGCATTCTGTTCTGTTTACTCCGCCTACCTAATTTTATGTCCTATTAAAGGGCCAAGGCAGTCTCTTTATTTAACCAGTGAAATTAACACAAAACACAAGACTTTACCCCATCAATGGGAGGCGGTGGTGGGGAAGAGACAAAAATCTTTAATAAATAAATAAATAAATAAAAAGAACTGGGGTTATAGGTGGTTATCAGCCACCTGGTGTGGGTGGTAGGAACTGAACTCAGGTCCTTTGGGAAGAGCATCAGCATGCGGTCTTAGTCTGTCCAGCCTTGTGTTCTACTACTTGATTTGGCTGCTGATTATGTAAGTCTATTTATTTATGGAATTATGATAATAGCAATATTAAAACCCATCATATGAATACAGTTAAAATGAAAGCTATAGAGAAATACTTTGATTGATACAGTTATGAGTTGTAATAAATGTACACAAGATGAGCACAGTATAAAAAAAAATGATGAGCACAGTATATACAAGGTTGAATGTGTGTGTGATTAAGACTCTTCCTTTCCTTTCAAAACAGAATCCCCAAATTATTACTAGATTTGCAATCCA